TGAGCTTTGGGCTGGCCCTGGGCCTGTCTAGGGTGGCTGGGGAGGAGGGGGTGTTGCCTGCTTCCCAGGAGGATGAGTGTGAGGGCAAGTCCCGGAGGGGATTCTTGTGATAATTTCTGGCCTTTGAAGTGTCCATCAGATGGGCAGGACAACAGGAAGCAAAACTGGGGCTTGCAACCTTACTCTGCACTTCAAAAAGCAGAGTTTCCAGAGGCCAGCAGGGATTTTTACAGGAGACAGAAGTGCTGAGGGAAACACAAGGGAGGAATGAGGCAAAGCGCCTAGAAATTCTGCGAGATTTCAAGGGAGAATTACCTACAATCTCTACAGCTCGGGCTAATTCACAGCGCTTTGTTGCTTCCCTCCTCACACGGCACAAAGAGATATCCAAAGGATCGTTTCTGCTGGATTCCCATTGTAAACTCTTCAGGGATCACTTTATAGATGTTCCACTTTAAAACTAGATTGAGAAGCAAATATATGTGATTAAAGATCAAGCTGGGAGGTATTAGTGTCCATCTTTTATTACATACAAACAAGAAATAAGTTAGCCATATGCCGTGCCTCGTTTGTTTTGGACCAGAGCACCAAATGGAACTGCTAATAAATCATTCATTGCTCAGCCACCTCCTCGCTTTCCGTATGTTTCCATCCTGTTATGTAAATATCACTGACATTAGAAATGAGACTAATAAAAAAAAAAAGGATTAAATCTGCAAGTTACATTTGCAACTTACAGTTCAATTATTTTAGACGGATATGGAAACAATCCTGGTTGTCCACCTACATTTTTCTTACCGAGCAAACGTGGCCATGCCAAGCACATGCTGATAGCTCGCAAAATATGGCTCTCCAGAGGCTGAGCTACTCGGAATCAGCCAGGCTGTGGCCAGCTGCCACAAGCAAAAACATTGTGCAAATCCTGCTAAGAGGGAGGTAAGTTTTAACTTGTAACTTGCCCGAGCATGAATTTCCTGAGCGAAGCTACAACTGGTTGAAAATGATGTTTAGCGAAAAATATGTGTGGCGGGGGGAGGGAGCTGCCTTTTGTTCAGACCATCGGGGGATTTTTTGGTTTTCTCATCTTCCAGACGTGTTTTATTACGATGAAAGGATTCGGGGGTGAAGAATAATCCCTCGTGTGTATTAGCACATATGGGAGCAGTTTAGCACACAAACAAAAGCCTTCCAGTTGTCCAAACAATAAAAGACCAGAAACATATCTCCTGACAACCCTTGTTCTTCACAGGGCCGTAGTTCCTGCAGACCTGGAGCAGATGTGCGTGCACTCAGTGCCCCTCAAAGTGAAGGTGCCTGCTGTCCATCACTAGCGTCTGCTGAAGCCACACGTGTGCCTGGTGTCCTGTGCAAAAGGATGAAAAGGAGAGTGGCAATGCAAATTATTATTATTTTTTTTTTTTTCCTAGCAGTGCAAAGTTAGCAGAAGCCGAGGCCTGAAAATCCGGTAGAGATGATGAGGCTGCAGCATCTCAGACAGCCACAGACGCCTGTGGGTGAGCTCACAGCCCAACACCACTTCAGTGGGTTTGTCTTTCTCCGTCTCAGTGTCCCTTAAACTCATCACAGTGAGGACTCCTGGCTGCATCAGCCCAGCAGCAATTACCTGGCTCTCCTGAAGCCGGCACCTAAACTAGCAGCTTCCTGAAGCATGTGGAAAAGTTCCCTGAGCTTGAGTTACACTGGCCTCTCTGCTCAGCAGGGAGGCTGCCTGATGAAAGGCTGGTAATGCCACGCCGTGTTCTGTGTGCTCGGTCTGGGGATTTGTTTTCAACTTTGGGTGACTTCAGAGGGTCTTGAAAGGCCAGGAGGAGAGGCTGTAAGTGGATGTACCTTATAAATGAGATAAAACAGGATCCTGGGGATGCCTCGTGTGCGTGTGAGGTCTCTTTGTCTCTGAAGCTCTCAGGTAGCTTGAGCAGGAGCCCCGACAAACCAGGTAGAGCAGGTGAAGCTCTGAAACTCATCTGGGGATAAATCAGTGTTGAGGCTGTAGCTCCCCAGCTCCACAGGGAACGCTTGCAGATAGTATTTAGCAATATTTTTCCACTGCTTGTAGGCAGCAGCTGCTTGGTGGCTGGAATTAAGCAACAAACTTTAATCTGTTTCAATAGATACATTTGTTTATGGGGTTGGAGAGAGAAAATATTAGTGGATGTCAGTGTGGCTGGGATAGCAGTGTCAGTGAGACTGATGTGAGAAAGCAATGACAAATTGTAAAACAATAAAAATAAAGGGGATGGACGAGGATGGAGGGAAGGAGCCTGCTAGAGCACTACGAGTTTTGAAGCAATGTCTGTCGCGGGACAGGTAAAGAGCCAGCACACTCCATCATCTGCCATCTATGCCCTTCTGTCTGTCGCCTGTCACACCTCTGTCATTTGCAACGCCAAGCAGAATGAGACAAGAAAGTCTTATAGGACCGGGATCATTAGAGTGGGACGTTTAATGGGGCAGTATATCACCGCTGCCTTGGCTTCCGTGCAACAGCAGTGATTCTACAATGAAGGATGTTGAAGCTGAGGGAACCATTGCCTTAAAAAAAAAAAAAAGAAAAGCAAAAATAAACCCCAGAGAACTCAAGCAAGTGACTTTTTCCCATTATTTGTAGAGAGAAGGCTTTTCGTGAAGAATATGGATAGATTTTATACATATATATATATATATTCTTCCCCCGAGAAGCTTAGCACTGAGTGTTAATAGACAGATCAAAGAGCTACTTAGCCACTGGAGCCGGGGAAATTGAACCAGGGCAGCAAAATAAAAATCAATCGTGGCTTTTAGTGTGCTCAAAGTGATTTTGTTCAGGACTGACTTCTGCGTGAGTACTTTGTAAAGCTTAAGATGATGAAAAGTTTGAGTTCCACACGCCAAACTCCATCTCCTGTTCTCTGTAACATGACAAGAATGCTTTCTACAGATGGACTGATTTCAGATCTTCCCGTCCTTACCCTTTGGTCCGACTACCCTCTTTAGTCTTCCCACTTGCAAGGTTATTCCCCAGGATCACATACTGTAAGGATATTATTAGCCTGCTCCCCGCCGCATTTCTGGCTCAGTGACTTGTGAATAATGCTGTCCTTCTCGGAGCACGCTAATAAAACCTCCACACCATGCAATCCCTGACGGTGTAGAGAGCACACTCGTTAGATGAGAGCTATTTTAAGATGGTTTTGAATCTTTAAAAATATAAAAGGGAAAAAAAAAAAAAAAGGGAGGGGGAACATTTCTCGAATCCCTTGGATCACAAAACTTGGCCTGACAAGGGCGAAGAAGAAAAAATCCAGATACCTCAAACAGTTCCCCAAGCGTCTAGACTGCAGCAGTCCTGTGAGGGCTGGAAGCCAAAGCCAGATTTCACTGGTGGGAGGGAGACTCTCCCTTCTCTTGCTTGCTCTGCATCTGTGCGTAAAGCTCCCACATCTCTAGATCCAGCCCCAGATGGAGCGAGCCATGCTGGAGCCATTCGGTCATACCTAGCGCGGGCAGTGGGCCAAGAGATTTCAGCTGACTTGGAAGAGAGACTCCTCCTTTGGAAGAGGCTCCCCCTTTTTTTTTCCATGAAGCTAATTCAAAAATGCAGCAGCTGTTTGAAACTTTTCGGGAGTTTGGAATATTAAAATAAACCCTAAAAAAAACACAGAAGTGATTATGGGGGGAGAGGGGCTATGGGGAGGACAGCATTCATCACGCAGTTCAACACTTGAGGTATGGTTGCTCTCTCTACCCCCAGCTTAAGATTTGTTACGGAACAGGCAGGCTGGAATTTATTTTTTTTTAAATGAAGAGATTAAAAAAAAGGTGAAATGTAAATTTGGCTACACGCATTTCCAGGACAGGACTGTGGTTATATAACGAAGCACTCAAAACATTGTGCTTTTTCCGAAATTCCCTCTCCTGCACTGTTTGTTCCTTAGGCTAAGAACAAAAGGGAAGCGGAGTCTTTGCAGCCTGGAGAACCATTTCTGCTGCTCTTCGCAGCAGCAGCCAGTTGCATACGTGAAATAATGATCATGACTCCTCGCAATTATTTCTTCTCTCCATGAAACAACCCCCTACCTTTTGATCTTTCCTCGCTCTCCATGCCAGGACAGCTTTTATGCAAAGGTGCAAACTGCTACATCCCTTAAGCATATGTTGCAAGCTCCAAGCTTTCCAGGGGCATTAGTGCGAGCGGTGTCATGCCTGGTACAGCTTCCACAGGGCTGCTTGTTTTAGCCGTTCTCATAAGTGTCCTTACAATGTGAAATATGCTCCATCTCACCTGTGTTTCTAGCACAGAACTGATTAAAGGTAAAGAAAATACAAGGAGGCATCAGGAAAAATAATGTTAGAGATGGAGAGACTCCCTTTCTAACATAATACACCCTCCAAGCTAGTTAAATGTTAATTGCTGAGTCCTCATTAAAACGAGTCTCACGGGATGCCTTGACTTTAGCAAGTCTTCTGAGAATTAAGGAGCTGGGATCCGCCGTGGTGCTTTTCTTCGTGTCGAAAGCTTCCCCAAAAGCAGGCACACACAACTGGGTTTTGCTGCGAGCATGCCAGACCGCAGCACAGCAGCTTCCTCAGCGCCTCGAGGCTGATGCCAGGATGAGACAAGAACTCATTTGGCATGTAGGAACAGAGGTGCCAGGGAGCAAGGGCGGGGGCAGCCTGCGCAGGAAAGTCGGTATCAAAAGAAGCGCGGAAGCCTGTGAAGTCTGGGGAGCTGCACCAAGCGCGGGTGCCTGCCCGGGCGTGTGAGGGAAAGCTGTCAGGGAAAGGAGGGGAGGCAGAGCACCGTAATTACGCCTCGTCTTGTGACCGGTGCGAACGCTGCCGAGCGCCCCGAGCTGCAGAGGGGAAGCAGTGAATCAGCAAGGGGCCCCGAGCACCCACGTGGTGCAGGACTGTGTCAGCAGCAAGGTGCTGCCCCTCCCCTGCACCCAGAGCAAAGCAGAGAGGCACCGCACTGCTCATAAACACCAGGGACAAGCGGGTTACCGTGGAAAGTCATTTTATTTCCGAATTTCACGCACTCGTGTCACAGACCATGCACTTGAGACTTTCCCCTTTTACAGATCCACAGCCTGCTGGCCTGGGAGAGACGGGGCGTCATCTCTTCACTTCACACTGCGGGTACCCACACGCTCAGAGCGAGGGCGGCGTGCCAGGAGGCAGAGAGTAGCCTCTTGGTGCCATCATTGCTTTTGAACACTTGAAAAGAAATCAGTCCGAGTCAAAAGGATTAGTGGTGGAGCTCGGCAGCGGCGAAAACCCACTGCCGAGCGAGTTGGTCCTCGCCCTGCGGTTACAGGGAACAAGAGGATGGTTTTGTGGAAAGCTCGTGTGAGTCAAGTTACACCAGAACACACCACAGCATTCCCGGAGCCCGGGCAGCGAGCAGGCAACGCGCGCCCTGGGCCTCTTACAATCAATTTGTCTCCGAGCTGCTCGGCCAGGAAGGTGGCCGGGAGCTGCCCTTCTCACATTCATCTTCAGGTCCTCCTGCTCCGTGCTGCAGCTGCGACGAGGCAGGAAGCCACCTCTAAGCCAGCCCTCGTGGCTCCGTGCCGACCTCTGTACTACATTTAATACTGAAAGGTGCCAGTTCCAAAGGCTCCACAACGTCCCTGCACAAGCTGGGTGCAGCACGAGTGTGAATTTCTTGCATAGCCGCCCTGCTCCTTCCTCCCTGCCTCCTCGTGCCTGCCCCTGCTCTGGCAACGCTCCTGGTTGCAGTGTCCCTGTGACCCCAGACGTCTTTGGCCTTTGCTGAGGCTGCCACAGCAGCTGTTGCCCCCTGCGGCGGCTGCCTGCAGGAAGGGAGCGTTCCCCTCCCCAGAACAACGGGCTTGTGGCTAGCTCAGAGCGGGGAAAAACCCAAAAGGGAAGAAGTGATTCAAGTGAAATGGAGCAAAGTCTACAGAAAAGGCAAAAAGGCAGCTTCAGTCTCCATTTGATACACAAATTGAGCTCGATAGCAGCAAGAAATGGCCATAAAATATTAATTCATTAGGTTGCCAGGAAGAAGTAAAAGCGTTCGTGTAAAAAAATTGATCAACAGATATGTTTGTGGCAACTGTGCTTAAGCCAGCTCAAGACAGTGGCTTCCTCCTGCTTATTTCTCTCTTTTTTTATCTACAGTTTTGATCATTCCGAACCATGCTGCTACTCAACCCTGCATGAAGACCACAGCACTGGAGTCAGCACCAAGTGAGGGGTGAGATCACACCGAGGAAGTGAACCTAAGGGGAACTCCTGACAACCCCGAGATTTTAATATTTTCGTTGACCTTCAAGTAATTAGGAGAAAGGGGAATTTCCCCAAGTGGCCCGCGGGCCCCAAGTCTCATCTGTCTGCTTTTAGGGTAGGAAGGCTGACATCAGAAAGGCAGCGGAGGGCAGGGAAAGGAGGAGGGGGGAAAAATAGGGGAACCAGAGTGAAGAGCAATCAACAACTGACCAACAGTGACTGCTGCCAAACTTACAGAACACAAAATCATACAAACGGAATTCCTGTTAACCTTTTATACACTACGGACTGTATATACACACACACACACACGCTTTGAAGTACGCACCTGGCAGTCTAGAAGGTACCGGTGCGCTGAGGATTAAATAATTTAAAACGTAACCACCTGACACGCCGGCTAAAATGGACGGATTGTCCGGGAAAGATGCTCCCCCCCTCACCTCACCAGCACTGCCTCTGGAAAGAAAATGATGGCTGAAGACTCCCCTCCGTGCTTCCACTCCTGAAACTCACCTTGAAAGCTCCCTGGCAAAGGGGAGTGAGTCCTGAGAGGAATGGAAGAGAAAAAGGTACTTGCTCCCTCCAAACTTGGCCTCTCTTGGCTAGGGAGGCTGGACAGCGGGAGGAAAAAGCTGCTGAAGCTGGGGAAAAGCAGGTAAAAGCAGCTGTGTTTCTGTACCCAAGGCTGAGAGCACCATTTGGGATGCCCACAGGGAATGAGGAAGGGCGAAGGCGGCCTCATGCCAGCACAAGGAGCAGAGCCTTTCTGGTGACAGCAGGTCAGTCCTGTTGGCTTTACTGACCTACGGAACCTGGCTGACGCGTGCTCGTTAGAAAACCGTGTGAGGCATGCTGCTTCCACCTCCTAGAAACCAGAACAACCTCAGGGAAAAGAGGAGAAGAAAGCCCCTGCTCCCACCTGCCTCCCCCAGCCCTCCCCCTGAGGAGCCTCTCTTCCTTTAGGACACCTGAGGAGCAGTTTTCCCTTCCCACAGGGCCATTCCCAGCAGCAGCGCCCAGCAGGTCTGGCTGAGCAGGAACAGCAAGCCCTCCTCCTTCAGCTTCGTCGCACAGCCAGACCACAAAAGCTTCTCCCTCCCCTGCGACAGCATCAGTGAGAAGTGCCCCCACTGGTGGTTGTTGCAGCAGATTGGACAAGCCCCAGGCCTTACTCCTGCACCCAGATCACAAGGGATGAGAAGGTTTTGTAGGGGCAGGAGCCACGGGCATTGCCCTCTTCCAAGGGCTACAGCGCTAAATCCTGTCAGTGTAATCGTTATTTCAGTCAGAAACACAACACGCAGCCCTATCCGGAACATCTCATTCAGTCTGCCCTGTGTGACTGGGTCAAAGTGACCAAAAAACAAAAGAAAAGAAAAAAAGGAGGAAAGTGAGACAGCGTGGTACAGCCGAGAGAAAGAAACGTGAGGACAAAAATCAGGCTGGAGGGAAGGAAAGGACCTCAGTGCAAGTCTGCTGAAGTTGTCACTGGATTCACCAGCCCACTTCCACCTTCTTCAGACCAGAATGGACTCGCTGCAGTGAGCACACTACAGGAGAAAGAGGTGCATAGTTAATGTGTTTTTTTTGTTTTTGTAGATACTCGAGTGTCAGCAGAATTTATGCAGAGATCTTAGGGCTGCAGTTTCAGCCTCTTTTCCCTAGCCAATGGGTACCTGTCGGGGCAGAGACGGTGGAAATGGACCGGTAGCACCAAGAAATCCAGCGGGAGCACCAACTCCACAGCAGGAAATCATAACGAACCAAAAGGAGACAGAGAGAGAGAGAGAGAGAGAAGTGGAGGAGACACATTTCGCAGTCATCCAAGTCCACCTCGGCTAAACCCCTAGCAGCGTTTCCCCGGGTAAGGCCCCCCGTTACGTCTGCAGCAAGACCTCTGGCTCGGAGAGCGAGCTGTAGAGGGTGTAGCCCAATTCATCCACTTCTTCCGGGGTGAGCTCGGAAAACAAGTTCACCTTGGGGTTCAGGGCGCTGGGGAGGACGCCCGCCTCCAGGTAGCGGATCAGCCCCTTCAGCGCCTGCAGGAAGCGGTCGGCCAGCACGTCCTGCGACCAGTCGGGCTCCTCCTGGGCCAGGTGCAGGATGACGTTGGTGAGCTGGCTGGCGGTGAGGTGAGCCAGGGCCGGGTTCGACTTGCAGACCGCTTTGAAGATCTTCAGGCACAAGCAGCGGCAGCCGGAATCGCGCTGGTCCAAGGCCCGCAGGCGAGCCGTTTCGGCCGGCCGCAGGCTCAGTCGCCACAGGTTGTCGTTGCGGGCCAGCCGATGGGGTTTGGCCACGAGGGTGATGTCCCCCAGCGTCAGGGAGGGAAGGAAGTCGATAAAAAGGTGCCGCTCGGGGTCGTACTGCACTTCCAGCGTCAAATCCGCCGGGGGAGCCGCCGGACGGATGACGTAGTCCAAGAGCGTCCCGATGGCTGGCCAGTTGATGGAGCCAGCTACGACTTTCTCAAAAGTCTCCGCCACAGCCTTGGGGGAGAGGTAACCTCCCACCACGCAGCGGTCCCAGTAGCTGCTCCCACGGGGAAAGTACTCCGGGTTTTCCCGACGCACCAGGTAGAAGCCAGGAATGTTCATGATCGTGTCCTCCCCGGGGATGCACGACCACAGGTTCTGCTCCAGCATGAGAGGGACGATGAGCTGGATGTGGTCAGCTGTCACTACCTTTCACAAAAGAGAAAAGCTGGTAAGAACAAGCCTGCCCTCGCCGCACTCAGCTCCACTCACCGCCTTTTAGACAGCCTTCTGCTCAAAGGAACTTGGAATAGGGATTCAGCTGCCTCTCTCTCCTCTCTGCACGGGATTCACAGCCTCCCGTTGACAAAAGGCGTTTCTGAAGGCCTGCTTCCCATCAGCAGTGGGATAAGGCCAAGGCACAACACAAGCTAACGCTTACATTGCTATTTTGAGACCTTTGAACACTTCAGGACCTGCCATGGACTGCATGCAAAATAATTTTGCCTCTTAGTGCTCTAAGTTCTGAGATGGAGCTGGCCCAGGACACAGCAACACCGTGTGATAGTTTAAAACTGGAAGCAGAGCACGAGGTTTCCAGACAAGCCTAAGTTGCCACGGTTTAATTATCCCATTCTACAACCAGGTACTGCCCTCACCTGGTCTGCCACGCTGGTCGTTAAAGATCCCTTTTCACTAAGGTGATTAAGACCCCAGATCTCAGTTTCACTCGGCGCTCCACGCTCCATTCCAGAGCTGTGACTCAAAGCAAAAAAGCGTGCCTCTGAATCACTCCCTGTAGCCACAGGCATCTTTCCCTCAGGGAGATATGCAGCAGGCACTGCTGCCCAATCTGGTCTGTCATGTGTTAAAAAAAGAGTAGGGAAGACCTACGTGAATAGGCAGGAGTTCTAAGGGAGTATCGCATATTTGGAAAGAGACAGAAGGGACAGAGAAAACAGGTGGAAAAGTGGTAGGAGAAACACAGGTAAAGGAAGAGAAGATGGAGAAGGAAAGGAGGAAGATAACTCAGAGAAACAAGCCAGCAAAAAGCAAATGCTTGGCAGACAAATCCAGACATCCTGGTCAGGTCTGCTCTAACAGCACTGCAGAAATCAGCGCCCGGTTCTGCACCACCGAGAGCCTCATTCCAGAGGAATGCTGTGCTGAGGCAGCAGCGCCAGCCGGGACGCCCAAAATGCCCCCACCTTGCCAGCCGGCTGAATAACGCCCCGTCACGAGGCCCCAGGAATTACCTGTAGGTCATCATACAGGCTGCCGCTGAGGTACATGTCACGCAGGGGCATGTCCGGCAGCTTGGCGCGGAGGAAGCTGCGCAGCTCGGCGCAGATGTCCACGGCTGCTTGCTTGGCCCGGGCCTGCTCCTCTGCTGGGATCGCCACCTTCCTCCGGTAATAGGCGAAGAGTTTTTCTTGCAGAGATAGGCGAAGGCGGGATTTTTTCAGCTCCGCTTGGCTCCTCTTGGCAGATGGCTTGGGCTTGGCGGGTCGGAAAAAGTCTGCAAGGCAGAAGGGAAACGTGGATTGTTTCACTGTGGTGTTTCAGCGTGACACGCAAAAAAAAAAGTCTTACAGTGCAGAAGCGCGGCCTCTGAGGTCTCAAAAAGCTTCCAGCAGGCGTTTTGCAAGCTTTACGCGGTTATCAGTCAAAAGGGGGACGTTGAAAATGGTTGAAAAAAGCTACTATGAGAATCAAGTGGGATGAAAACAAGTTATTAGGTTTGAAATTTAGCCAGAATGAGACTAACGCTCGCATCGTGTACAACAAAGTAACGTTAATGGCTACGTGGGCAGTTCCTCAGCTCCATTTCATCAAAAATTCAGCTGCTTTTAACATGATGCCAGACCAGCAGACCAGTAGAACAGCCTTAAACAGCCATCCCTACCTCATTAAGTTCTGCACATGATGATGGCTTTGTACAAATTATCAACAAAACCTGGTTCTAAGTAGGGTAAGAGATCTGAGACGATCACGCCATCTGGAAATAAAATAGTTGTCAGGACCTCAATCAGCACGTGGCAGGATGGCAGGATGATGGATCTTGGGGCCAGCACAGCTCCGGCAATCACAGCCCTAATGAAAACCTGCCTCAAACTTTAACTGAACAAACAGCAGAGAGCACATTTATGCGCAGAACAGCAACACAGTGCTTTATGCTGCTGTGTGCATTACCAAGCTAACCTGCAGCATCTCCAACGCCCTCTTTTCCAGGCTGGTTTCCTACAGAAATGAGCCAGGGCTTCCTATCAAGCTTCTCTTAACATGGACCTAAAAATTCAGAAGTTATTAACAAGAATTAAGGAAGAATTACAGATATACAAGACCCTAAGTCCTCGGAAGGCCTGTGGAACTTGACGGGTGTGGGAGACACCCCCAGACCAGCGGTGTTAAGGCAGCTGTCGTGCATTTGTTCAGCAACAGGCACGCGGCCACCACGCAGCACGTGCAGGATGCCTGAGCGAGCAGCGCACGGATCCGTCTCACCCAGACTCCGCAGCTGCTGTTTCTCGTCCCACTGGGGTCTTTTGGTCAGGTTTCAGGGTTTGTGTGAAAAGCAAACAGCCAACAAACTATAAGGAACCAGGTTTTACTGGCTGTTCATGAAACAACGTATTTTTCTGTCTTGAATTTTAATTTATTTTCAAGCCAAGAACACGAAACAGTATTATCAAACGTTTTATGCCTCAATCCTTTAATTCTCCAAGTGTAAATCTCCCCGAATGACCAAGGGTTGGAAAATAAAACCATCAAGAAAAAAACAAACACCACAAACTTATATAAAAAACGCTGATGAACTCTAAATTACTTATTATCGTGCTCTGAAAGACAACCACAAGTCCCCCTCTTTAGCCAGAGGAATGCTTGGTGAGCAGTACTGCTTCATAAGCAGTCCTAAAAAGGCAAAGTGTTACAAGAATTATTAGGAAAATGATAGAAATAATATAGGGAATACGGTTATAAATTGCTAGTTATTCGCCATCTGAATACTCCCCTCTTTAAAAAGAAGCAGACACACTGGAACGGTCCAAAGAAAAGCAACAAAGAGCTTCAAGAAATGGGGTTTTGTGAGGAAAGATGGCACAGGTAAGTATTCAGCTTGAAAGAGGAGATCTGAGGGACGGTAAAACTTAAATCCATGAAATCATGAGAGAAACGAGGAGCGCCAACAGATGACTGTGGTTCACCAGTTCCAAGACTGACTCTAATAGTTGAAACTATCGATAGACTGTCTTAAAATATCAAAATACTGAGCTAGACATTAAATTCTCTTCTCCTGTGCTGTTTTGAATGAATAACGGGGTTTTAGGGATGATTCTGCAAGGCGGGAGTGCCTCACTGCTCCGTACCTGCGTCCGCAGCCGAATGGTCGGTGGGAAGGGTCTGCAGGGAGCGGCTGAGGTTGGTCTTCATGTCCTGGGACAGCAGGCGCGAGGAGGACCCCAGCCAGTTGGGCTCTTCCCAGCTCCTCTTCCCCGACTGGCTCAAGCGCGTGGGGCTGCTGGGAGCGCTGATTGCCCGGTCGTACATCTGAAACGACACCACCGGGCACGATTTCAGCCGCTAAGGTCTGCGTTTCACCCCCTCCTAGTGCCAACACCCTGTGCATTTTGGTTTCCCACTCCTCCTTTCCAGCACACTCACCCGTTTGACGGCCAGCGTGGCGATGCCCAGCATCGCCGCTCCCCCCACGCCCAGCACGAGGCGGGCGTTGGACAGCACGAAGTCGATGGCCGTGCCGATGCCATTGTCGTCCTTCTTGCCTTTGCGCTGCCCAGCGCCTGCCATCTCACCTGGAAATGTAATAAAAACAGGTCAGAACAGGAAAACCCAAAAAAACCACCCACATCTGTTGGTCTTAGGGTCTTCGTAGGGAGCCAGAGGACGCGATCCCCTAACCCTGCATCCCCTCCAGCCCTTATCTTCCCCCCAGACACACCACGACAGCAGCGTTTCATGGCTTTCAGTGCTGCTTATGACCCAAAGAGAAACAACCCAAATTTGATGTGGCCTCTCATCCTTTCAGCAGATTAAATTATGCCTTCACCTAATGCTTTTTTTAAGAAAGCAACGTTTACTTCAGCTTTGCAACGAAATCCTATATATTTTGTCGAGCTCTACGACCACTTACATCTTTTCCTTCCAATTGGCGCGTCCCAGCCAAACCATGGCCTTTTTACACGTTTATTTTCTCATTCTCTACCCAACGCTTTAACTTTGCACTCAAACGTGGCGACGTAGGGACCAGGATCTTCCCAAGAGATCGTTTTTGGACAAAGGCTGCTCCCAGATATTCCAAAGCCACCCAAGAGTCAACATCAGAAACCACAGCGCCCCGCGACGGGAACAACTTCCTCACTTCCCTGACGTTTATTCCTGCCCTCAAGCCTGGCGGGGTTGATTTCCATGCAAGCTATGCATAACACGAACATTAACGCCTCCCTACGTATGCACGTTGGTTTCCTTCTGTTCCTATTTAACCTCTGACCTTGATTTTTAAATGCGGAGAGTTTCCGCGGCTGTCTACACGTGTAAAACATGCTATGCTGGGCGGATATTCACTGAAATTGAAGGAAGATGACAGAAAACTCTTCCAGTGTTGACTCAAGGTAGGTTTCTAAGAAAACGCTTCAGAGCCTGGGTGGTTTAAAGCCACCTTTGTGTTAGTCTAGGAGCAAGTTACAGTGGGAGAGAGGCTGTTCCTGCCTCAACGAGCGAGGAATACCATCAGTCTTCATCCCAGGGCACAAAACCAGAGGCGTGCACAAAGCTAAGTGTATTATTAACACAAAACCTAGGGCTGGAGCGGCCTACCTGTGACCTACAGCATTTGCACAGGGCACAGGCGTCCTGGCGGGACCTTCGGGGCTCCGTGAGGGCGGCGGCGGGCAGGACGCATTAACCAACGGGGCCCAATTTGGCAATTAAAGGCCGTGGGGGGGGCAGGAGGAGCCTCGGGAGCGTCCGGGAGGCCTAGCGCAGCCCCCCCAGCCCGCTCCGCAGGAAAGCCTGCCCCTTCTCCAGCTGCCGCTCCCTGTCCTCCGGCCGCTGCAGCCCGCGGTGGCGGCGGAACTCGGCGCGGACGGCGGCCCGGTACAGATCGCGGTCGGTGTAGCGCAGCGCCCGGCCCCGCCGCAGCAGGGCCCGGTAGAGGCTGAGGACGGCCTCCCGCGACCACGCGGCCATGGGGAGGGCCTGAGGGGAGCCGCGGGGCCGGGGCGGGGGGCTCGGGGCCGGCTCCTCCCGGCGGGGGCCTCAGCGCGGCCGCGCCGCCTCCCTCCTGCCTCAGCACCGGGGGGGGGACGGTAACATGGCGGCGCTTCCGGTACCATAGAGAGGGGAGGGAGCGGCCCCCCCGAAGATGGCGCCCCCTGGCGGACCGGAGGCGGGGTGGGGGTGGTGAGAGGGAAGGGGGCGGTGGCGCCCCCACAGCGCCGCCTGCTGGCCGGGAGGAGGAAGCGCACGCAGCGCCACCCGCCGGGGCTCGGTTTGGGCTGGGAATGGTTTGACAGAAGATTTATAGAATAAATCATCAAATTCAGGCTCTGTGGTTTTGTTGGTATTAAACGCCGCGGCGCGCTCTGGGTGTTTGAATTACGCAGGGCAGCAGCACCTGCCGGGCTCCTGGGGAGGTGGGGGGAGAGTCCCCAGAGCAGGACCCCTGTCTGGGTGCAAATCCCCCTTTTCCAGAGACAAATCCCCCTTTTTTGGGTGCAAATCCCCCTTTCCTGGGTGCTAATCCCCCCTTTTCCGTGTGCAATCCCCCCTTTTCCAGGGCAAATCCCTCTTTTCTGGGTGCAAACCCATCTTTTCTGGGTGCAAGTCCCCCTTTTCCATTTGCAAATCCCCCTTTTCCAGGGGTAAATCCCCATTTTGCAGGACTAATCCCCCTTTTCAAGGCACAAATCCCCCTTTCCAGGGGCAAAACCCCCCTCTTCTGGGGGCTAACCCCCATTTTCCAGGCACAAATCCCCCTTTTCTGAGTGCAAATCCCTCTTTTCCGGGGGCAAATCCCCCTTTTCTGGGTGCAAATCCCCCTTTTCTGGGTGCTAATCCTCCTTTTTCTGGGTGCAAATCCCCCTTTTCCAGACACAAATCCCCCTTTTCTGGGTGCAAATCCCCCCTTTTCAGGGGCAAATCCCCCTGTTCTGGGTGCTAATCCCCCTTTCCCATCCTTCCTTTCTCCACTCCAAACCTACTCTGGGGATTAATTCTGCCTCCTCGGCCACCTTCTCCCTGCAGCCTAGTGAAACAGAAACAGGGGATGTAGCTCCGTAACGCCTTGCCTCCCCTGGGGCAGAGGGGGAGAGAAAGATCAAGCTGCGTGTGACAGAGGAGAGCCGCATCACCCCGCACCATCCTGGTGACACCAGATATGACAGCGATTGAATTCGACGGGAAGAAAAGCAGAAGCCCCGGACCGCCTCGCTCCGTGCCAATCTCCCCTTGTTCATTTCCTTCCCGAGATAAACAGCCCCGAATCGCATTCAAGCTCTCTTTGCGAGCGGGTTCACCATGCCCCTAATCAGCCCTTTCCGAGAAAGGCTTGCTTGAACTGCAGACAGTATTCCCAGAGAGGCCACACTGCTGATTTACATAACAGCATTATCATATTTTGAATGCTATTCTCCCCTTCTTCTTTCTCTGCCTGCTAATATTTGATTTTATTTTTTTTTTTTTACTTTTTTATTTTATTATTATCATTTTTTTAACCTGCATCCACTCCCAGAGCCAGGGTTTGTGGGATATTCAGACCCTCTCCCCAGTTGCTAGAGACAAGCTGGAGCTTTATAAATTTTGTGTTGCAGCCTTTTCGGGCTTTTCTTCCTTGGCATGCACCAAGGCAAACCTTGGCAAATGCATGTTGTTGCCCGTTTACCACATTTGCATTTTATTTACAGTCCTTTCTGATCTCCTCAAGAGTCTATAGCTTTGAGTCATCTCTTAAAAATTTTTTAGCATATTGCTCATCTTTCTTTCCAGATTAGCCGTTCCTACGCCGAGCTATCCGGGACCTCGGAGGCAGCGTCCATATTCCCTACCCTTAACCTTTTGCCAGAATGAAAACCGATCTTTGAACCCTTCCCGTCTCCCCCTTGGGTTGTTGATCCACAGAAAAGCTCTGCTTCTCGCAGCAGGGCTCGGTAGCCCCTGCACAGGTGCGCTGATAAGCCCAGTCCTTGAAACTCCAAAGTCTGGATGGAAACATCCACAGCTGTGTGCAGCAGCCCCCGGATGGGTTACAGACGGGATCGGGCTGTGTGAGGGTGAGCAGTGGGGAGAGCTTTGGTGCTCCTGATGCTCTGAGTGTCACCACATGGCCCATCCGAGCCCTGCTCCCCGATCCTTCACCCCCTGGGCCCCATGCACCTCACACTCCCCCAGGGCATCCTGACCCATGCCGGGGCCGTGCGTGGGCCCGGCTGTGCTCAGGCCTTGTGCCAGCACACGGGGAGGATTCCCCAGGGAAGATTTCAAGCTGTGCTTCCTCTGAGAGCCACCTGCATCTGCTGTGAAGGATAAACGTGAAAGCAAAAGGGTGACCGTGGCACACGGGAGTAAGACCTCCTCCCCCCGAGGTGCCAGCTCCTTGCTTTGAGTTGCTTGGGGTGTGCAAAACGCTCAATTTTGGGGGCTCCCCGTGCCTTCCCGACACAGGAGCTGAGGACTTGGGGCCTCCATAAGCGCCCCTCCCCATCCTGGCCCCCTTCGGTTGCGCCTGTTTTAGTGTTTTGTTCATTTTTTTTTTTCCCCCCAGGCCGCTCGCCAGCTCCCGGGCTCCTCGCCAGCAGCTGCGTGCGTGCATTGCGGACTCCTCCGGCCGCGCTGCTCAGCCTGCCTCCGGCCTCCCCAGCACCCCGGGGCTCGCCGTGCCCTCCGGCACCTCGCTGCAAGCAGCACCCACATCCCACAGAGTGCTCCCCGTAACCCCATCGCATTCACCGTGCCCCTCCGGCCTGGCGAAGGGGAGAGGCAGAGCCACCCCCGGCCGTCGCTTTCCCTTCACCCACACGAGCGCTGGCCCGCTGGCGAGGTGCCGGGGTTGTGAACTCGAACTCTGCCTGCAGACGGTGAAGCAACATCCCCCGCGGTGCTTCCCAACCCGGACGGCTCCTCCGCTGACCCCACCGCTCGCTCCCCCCGCGGCCCCGTGGTGTGGGTGGATTTGTGCTGCCCTGACGGGACGTGCAGGCCCCTGAATCCTCCCGCTGCCTGCAAACCCACACAGGGACTGCCCGGGGTGCCCTTTCTGCCCTTCTTCTCCCCTCACGGAGCTGTGGGGAATGTGGGGTGCCCCACAGCGGGCTGGGGGCCCCTTCACCTCCGAGCCTGCATCCCTGCAATGAGGATTTACTCCCTGTGGTGTGGGCCGAGAGCAGGGAGCACACCTTCGCCGTACGCCCGGAGAACAATCATGACCTTTGTTTTCCCAGATGACTAAGTGAGCTTGTGATGTATCAAAGGCAGCATGGGCTACGGGGCACAATAACCTGTGTTGTTACCTAGGTGTAAAACACAGATATCCCCCCCCAGCCTCCCCCGGGAGCCTCTTCTCATGCTTGCAACAGGTCCTGCTGCTCACGCCGTGACAGCGGCACCCGTGGAGCGGCAAATAATGTCCTGGAGCGGGGCTGCAGCGTGGGTTTTTCTCCCCAGAAAGACTGCACGTGGCAACAGAAGGCTGGGCTCTGATACGAGCCAGCAAGCAATCCCTAAATACAAGCGGGAAGATGGGTAGCGACTTGCCAAGGCCATCTGAGCTTGGGCTTAACATCCTTCATATCGGCTCGTAAAGAGGCCTTGGAACAGCTCAACGGTTCTCTCTTTTATTGTGCCCCTAGTTCGTTACTTGAGCAATTGCACGCAATAACAGCATTTGTGCCAGATCAGGCCCTAAAAAAAAAAAAAAAGGCAAAAAAATGGGAACCTGTTGATAAGAGAGCAGAAATAATATCTCACTCCCGCTCCTGTGGTATGCCAGGAGCGGAGGATGGCTGGGGCTGTCGCTGATAGCTTCTTTCCTCCGAACCCAGCAGCTTTGATGTTGAACAAACACACCAAGAAGGAACCAGGTGCTGAGGGAGGAGAGGCGGCCAGGACGCCGCAGTCACTTCCCGAGGGACGTTCCTGATGCGCAGCCCAGACCCAGGCTTTAGCCACAGCTTGGCAGGGCAACCGGCTGCTCCGGGGAGGAACCCCGGGGGTATGTTTTTGCCAGGAGGATGGCAGGAAAAGTTCACAGCCCAGCTGCTTCCGAAGTGGAGCTTTTCAGGTTCTCAACCTCCAGCCCCACAGCCTGGGGAGGGGACACGCAAGCAGCCACCGAGCTGCCACCGCTCTGAGGTCTGTGCCAATGGCTCGGCTTTAACCCCCGTTTTTAACAAGTTAAAAATGCTGCTGGAGTATTTTTACAATTGGTCCGTGCATACCTTTGTTCTAAGCTCAGCACGACTTGTGTTCCTTCAGCCGCGTTTCCCCGCGGCTGGCTTTGCTGGGGCCTTTTTTTTTATTATTATTATTAATTCCCTGGCTAGTAGGATTTCTCTCCCAATTATTTTGCCATGCACCAGCTGTGTGCCGCAGCAGGTTTCCGGAGCTGTTCGGAGATCCTGCTTTTGTGAGCGCTGTAAGCTGTACAATTTTGCATTAATCTGATGGCCTTGTGAGCTTTCTGCACCAGCAGCATCCGTGGCGATCTCGCAGCCGCTGGCATTGGCCCCTAAGTGGGGTTGCACACACTGACCCCAACCTTTCTGCACCCTTCAACCCCATGCATGCTGTGGTGAGGTCCTCCCAGCACAATTCTGGGGTTTTGGCTCATCTAAGGGGACTGCCACACGCGTGCACAGCCTGAGAAGGGCAACGCTGCTGTTCCACGCTGCTTCTCTCCTTCCTTTTATTTCAGGCACCTACCATATATTTTGTCCCATTAACTCCCAGGTTCTTAGATTTACTTCTGTCCCTTTTAGGGACGTTTATCTGGTTTGGGTTTTGCAGCAGTTTGACGTCCAGTTCTGGGCAAGGGTTTGAGCCAAATGCTTTAAAAACACTGACAATCAAACAGAAGTGGGTGGATGTTTTCTACATTCCTTTATTTTTGCATGTGTGCCTGGTTCTTAGTAAGTGTCTGGGGAAAAAAAGATATGACTGATGATTTGTTGCTCTCTCTTTGGAAAAGGTCCAGACTGTAGAAGAGGGCTAAAGTGCCAGGAAAGAGCTTGCTGCATCGAGGCAGGCTCATAATGTTTGATTTTATGCATTCTCCGAGCAACGTAGTTTCTTTAAATTGAGATCCTGGAGAATATTATTTTATCTCTTTATTCGTCACAGCTTAGTTGCTCTTCTCAGTTTTCCTTATTTTTAGAAAGGTGAAGCGTGGCTCCCAAATTAAATTGTTACTGGAATGGATTTCAGCCAAGGGATTCATGGTTCAAGCCATAAGGCACAGGAAACATAAGCAGAAGTAAAACAATGGGTTTTTATTTTTTATTTCATTTGGCAGGGCGAGGAGTGATATGGCCTTGAAAGATTTGCATTTTTTTTTTACGTAACTACGATGTGTTTCAAACAACACTAAGGACAAATTTCTCTCTCTTCACTTTGCTTTAAAAAAAAAAAAAATGTTAAAAATGTCAAGATTCCCAATTTTCCTCAATTCCAAGTAAACGTCTGTGTTTGGACTTCTCAGAGATGCTTACAGTAATGGCCCAAACATTTGCTGGAAGGGGCTGATCCTTTTCCCCTCTCACTGCTGTGCTTCTCCCTGCAGATGCCTCAAAGGCGAAGCCCGTGGCAGCCTGGCCTGCAGCCCAGCTCCTCTCCTCTCCCCAGCACCAGCGCCTTACAGCCTTCATGTCAGCCTCTTGCTTCGGGGACCCGGAGCCCTTTCCCTGGACGGGACAGTTTTGCTCAGCTCCTTGGAGGCTGTTTCGCAGGGAGAGAGCAAAGCCCTGCAAAGCTTGCTCCCGGCTGAAGGCTGGCTGATGAGACCCGGCTGTGGCCCCAGCTCAGCTGCTAAAGCAGCGAGACTTAGAGAAAAAAAAAAAAAAAAAAAAAAGGGCAGACCAATAATTAAAAATTAACTGTCCCTGTTAAACAGCGTATTAAGCTTTGCCCTTACACAGGGAACAAATGTATCCAAGCAACAAAAACAAACAGCCAGCGAGCCAGGCATTGGTATCCCCTTTCCAGCTCTTTCAATGATGCTGTAAGTTTATATTGAAGTCATTTTGTTTCCAAGCACCCTGGTGTTTAGAAACAGCTTGTCTGTCCCCCCGATCAGCAAACCTCTGCTGCAGGCATCGATCGGGAGCCAGCCAGACGGAGGGGCTGCCGCAGCACGCCTCCCCGCCGAGCAGCTCTGCAGGGCGCCCGCCGTAGGCACTGGGCATCCCTGAGAATTTGGGGAGCGGCTCATTTCCAGGCAGGGTACACCAGAGCCCCTCCATGGTGCGTCTTTCTCCCTGTATAACATCTGTCAGGGCACTGAAATCCTGCAGGACACGCTGCACGTTCCTGGTTCGATATGGCACTTAAGGCTGCGTGTCCATAACCAGGGCCACCCCGTTTCCACGTGTCCTGAGCGATGCAGGGGGATGATTCTCTAGGAGGGTGTACAAGGCTTGTGGGGGAGCCACGTGCCCCCGTGCCCAGCCGATTGTCAGCACTGCTCCTGCAAAACGAGGGCTGGTTCATGGAAGAGTTAATGCCTCGCTCACGGAGGCTCTTCCAGCTCACGCGGCAGAAACCGGTGCTTTCTGGGGAGAAAGGTCTTGATTCCTGTCAATGCCTTCCTTTAAAACCTTGTAGGAAACCGGAGGAATGTCATTTACATCGCTTCTTAAAATAATATAAATGTCAGTAGGAGATTTGGTACTGGAGGCAAGAAGAGGACGAGCGCGAACCTTTGACCAAGTCAGCCCTCATTTCTTAAACTGTCTCGCTGCACAGCCGCTGGCCCAGGCTTGCAGACTTATCTTTTGAAAAACTGCAAGTTCACAGACATTTCAGGGATCGTCTATTCTTAGATTGTGCCCTATTCGAGTGCACAAATAAGGCAATCAGTAAGAACGCTATAAATTCTTCCTAGGAAATTTTAATTGTCAATTTTGAGTGCCGCGCTCATTTCAGGCTCTGTGCCGCAGAGAGGGGGGCAGAAGCAGCAGAAAGGCAGTGCCTGTGGACAACAAAACTCGACTTTGATGGAAAGCCTCCCAGAAAAGGGAGACATCGAAAGCATCACACTGCCGTGGAAGAGAAAAAGATGAGGGAATGGGCTCAGCCTAAGGATTGTAAGGAAACTAACCTATAACGCTTATAACCTGTAATGTTTATTGGTGCTGTTTCTGAATGGGACCAGGAATGAACCCGAAGCACAAGGCACTTAAAAACACACAAAAATGACGTACTGTAGGCTGCACGTGAGCTGGTGAATGGCCCTCGCCAGAGATACCGCTGAGGCCAGGTGCTCAGGAGGATTCAGGGCAGGACCGGGCTTTGATGGGGAGTAATGGGAACAGCCAAAATTACATTAGGTGGGTTTAAAAATAAGCTAAAACAAGGAGGTCACGTTCTTTCACACACTGTGCAGAAAGCCAGCTGCCAGAGAAACATCTCCGCAGCAGAGAGGGTTCAGTTGGGGCGCCAGGATTTCCACAGCTGGATTTGGAAGAGAGGATGCAACGGGGAAGAGATGGTGGTGAGGGACCATTTGTGAGCGATGCTGGCTCCCACAGCCACCAGCTCTCCCAAAAAGCGCCGTGCAGATGCTGCTCCCCCCCTCGCATCCCTGTGTGTGCTCATACTCACCCGGCCTGCAGAAGAATAGGTCCGATTTGGGCACACAAGTCGAGGAGCAAACTCTCTCGCTCCATTTTCCAGCATCCCCCCCCCTCCTCTGCCAGGCAATCAGAAATAAAAGCTGCCACACGCACACACCTTGGTTTCCTTTCGTACTTTGCCTTTTTTTTTTTTGTTTTTTAATTTTTATTTTGTCCTCCTTTTAAGCATCCCTTTAAGGGTGAAATGAAATCCAACCATTTACAGAGAAAATGATTTCAGAATGTACATTTGATTTATCCTTACAAAAAGTTCATTATTACTTGCTGTTTATAAATTACAGAGTGGAAAGGAGCTTTGCAGATGCTCTTTCTTTTTTATTTTTATCTTTTTTTTTTTTTTTTTTGGCAAGTCCATGCGTCCTTTTGCCAAAACAGGGTGTTCTGGGGCCACCACCCCAGTGGCAACACCACCAGTAGGTCCAGGTGGACCCCAGCCTCGGGGGTGCTGCTGGGCCACCTCCAGGATGACACGGCATCATCCTCCTCACAGGAAGGAAAAAAAAAAGCAACAGTGGTTTGAATTCTCGGTTTCAGAGTATTTCAGTTCCCTTTTTAAACCATTTTCTGCAGTCCCCGAAGCCTTCAATGTCAGTGTATTGCATCAGAAACAGCTCTCCTTCCTCGGTGCTGGATTCGAGCCCCTCCTGAAACCCCTTTTCCTCCAGCTCCCCCTCTCTTTCCGTAGAAAGAGCAAGTTTGTCCCGTGCCTCAGAAATCAGAAGGGATATAAATGTGGTTTTTTTTTGGTAGGTGGGGTAAACACAACAACGGAGGGATTCGGGATCCATTCTACCCCTCACTTCCCTCATTTTTTTTTTTTAATTTTTTTTTTTCCACCAAGGCTTGAGGTCAGGCAGGACGAGCTTTTACTCTCCTCTTCACCTCCAGTGACCGCTACCAGGAGCAGGAGTGACTCCAGACACGGGGCTTCACAGTGCAGAGGCGCAGCAGCCACGGAGGTTGCTGGCAGGAGCAGGGGGACAGGGACAGAGCCCGGGGGGCATTCAGGAGGGGAGAAGACACCGCCAGCCCACGGGGACACCAAAAAGAGCTCCGAGGCAGGGATTTTTTTTAGTCCTTCCCTTCTCCAACTTCAGTGCCTGGGTCAGGCGAAGCTGCGCAGAGGGCAAGCCACCACCTCGGGAAATCGCTGTGCAAAAGTCAGCTCGCCAGTCCTCATCCCTCAAGGGAGGCGACGGAGGACTTTTAATCCCAAGCACTTTAACTCCCCACGGGGAATAAACACAGAGTTTGCAGGAACAACAGGAACAGTAACTGGGCTGGCCTTCGATCAAGAAATGTTTAAACAATTCTTGAGAAAGAGGAGGAAAAAAAAAAAAAAAAAGAATGCATCTCAGCTGTAAAGTCCCTTCCTCCCTCCACAACAGAAGCCTGTTTTAAATTTAATTTCCTAAGAATAAGGAAGTGAAGAAAGACCAGGGGGTGGACAGGGCCAGAGTCACACAGAAGAGCCTCAGCGCTGCTCTCAGCCCGCTCCAGCAGGACCTCCTCCTCCCCCAGAAGGGGAACGATGGAACAAATAGTGGAGGAGAGGGGAAGGAGGGGAACAGGCAGTACTTTGGGAATAGAAGATCCAGATATTGCAGCTGTGGCCTCATCTGATGCTGCTAAGAGACAAGGGCCTTACCCCAGCGATGGAAATGAGACTTAAGCATGGAAAAAGAGGGGCCCTCGGCTCTTCTAAAGAGACATCGTGGCACACGAGATGGGGAAGGAACTAAGATGAACTCAGTTTGATCAGAAAAAGATGCTCATCATCTCGCCATTCCAACCTCAGCCTTCTTAGGGAATCAAGATTTTTTGTACATGCTCTTCCTTCTCTAGAGAAGGGAATAGGAGGGAAGAGAGAGATGCAACGACACGATTTAAGCACAAGGGGCTGGCCAACAAGAAAACAGAGCCCTGATGGAGTGAATTAATGGCAATGGAAACCCTCCTGCTTCTGCACAGCTGTCCTGATGTCAGGGTCACTCGTCCTTATGACAACACTCTCCTCCTCCACACCACCCTCGCTTCTTTGCTTGGAAGATGAGCCAATATTTCCACTGTACAGCTAACAGAGCACGTTCGTGTTTTTCACCCTCTTCGTACCACAGAGCAGGCTCTGGGCACCACGTCAAGCCATCTGCTAAGGAAGGGTGGTAAGGGTGGAAACGCCAGCCTGCCTGCTCAATGGGCTGAATAAATCCAACACAGCGACAGGCCAGAGCCCTCGGTGGCAAGCTCCGTGTGGACAGCGGCCCACCAGCTGCAAGTAACATCATCCTACATCCCCAGCCTGGAAAAGCGTGGGCTGCACATGCTCTCTGGATTACGTGATCATCCCAGAAGAGGTTTTTGGCCCCAAGGGGAGTTTTCCCATGGCCCCTTTCTCCGTGAGTTCCCTCACACCTTAAGAGCAGGCAGGTGGGTCCCATGCTTTGACATGCTTTGTGCTTCCCCACGACACCCGTCGCAGACTCAGCTTTGCCCTTCCTCTCTCCTTTCCCCCATGGCAAGAAGGGATGGCCAGCACATGTAAACAGCAGCTCTGCCACAGGCTACGGAGGCAGCTGAAGAGGCACACAGGTCTGCATGTCACACTGCTATGCGGAGACGATGCTTTCCCTGAACCTCTCCTATGCATTCCCCAAAACGTCATCCATGCCAAGACAGATCACAGCTTATGGATCTCAGCGTTTCCTGAAAACATACACACCCAAGCCCAGCCTATGCCCCCTTCCCTCCCAATACTGGTAACAAACACCCACGTGCATCCCAAAACCATGCATGTTAGCACTCATGCACATAGGAAACCATGCACTTGTAAACATACACTCCCACCATCTGATTTAATCCCCCTGCAGCTTATCCCCGCCCCGAAAGAAGCACATATGGCAGGGAAGATGCTTCAGCTCCTGTGGGCCACGCCAGTGCAGCGTTGAGTGGGCAGGGGTGAAAAAAAGGAGTTAAAAAAAAAAAAAAGGGTCAGCTTTCTCCTCTGCTTCCCATCTGCTTGCTCCAGGACTGGTAAAGCATCAGGCCAAGACGCAGCCCAGGACAGACGAATTAAGTTTGTGGGAGGAGGCTGTGTACCGGGGAGAACACCTTGGAAGCAAAGGCTTTACCTCCCCCCAAGTACTTTGAATAGAGAGGTATATAAAAAAATAAATGCATATTGAGATGCTTTTGCACATTCACTCATCCAGAAAAATGCCTGTGACACACATCTACACACGTGACCACTCACATCAGTCTGTGCCTGCTGACTCACACGCTCACTGAGTAGCCCAAACTCACATCTGTGCTTGCTCCGATCCACAACGAACGAGGATGGATGGGAACAGCTGCCCTCTCTCCCCAGCAGACCTTCCCAGCCTCCCCTGGAGGAAAACCCACCAGCTGGATGCAGAGAGATTCTCCCCAGCCAGCGGGAAGGGTCCAGGAGACGCAGGGAAGTCTTTATGCTACCGTCAGGCTAGGTCCTGCACCTCTCCCCTCCTCCTGCCCAGGCCTCCCTTCAGCTGACCGAGGAATTTGTGTCCCCAGGCATTACCCCGGGAAGAAGGGAAGGGAGAGCAGAGACCATGGAGAAACGGCACACCCCACCTGGAATCGAAAAAAAAAAAAAAGAAACAGACAAAACACACCCGACTCTTTCCCTTTGTTGCAAAAGTTCTGATTTCCCACACGAGTCCCAGTGGTTTCACCCACCCCCCTCCGCTTTTCGGTACGGGTTCTCCAACAAGTAGTGGAATCGCTGGTAGTTCTTGAGCAGATATTTGGGAGCATACATGTGCTCCTTGGGGTCAGCAGGGGGATACTCCTGCGTAGTACCATCAAACCACCCACCAGTCCGGATCAGCTCCCGGATATAATTGAGGTCTCTTTTATCCTCGTAGTCCCCCCAGCGGGGGAAGTCCCCATTCTGGGCTGACACCAGTTTGAAGTAGATCCCCTCCGGGGTGAAACACCAGGAGCAGTGCCAGCCAGCAAAGTGGAGGGGGCTGCCCAGCGACCACTGCACCAGGATGTGTCCTGTACTGTTCTCATACTGCCGAAAGCCAGGCATGGTGTAGTACTCGCGGCGCCGCAGACGGATGCCGTCAGTAGCGTAGACAGCCTGCAGCATCCCCATAGTGCAGCCCGAGACCACCTCCAAGGTGCCTGGTTGCTTCCAGAAGAAGCCGTAGAGCGACTTGCGCATGTGAAAGGCAAAGGGCTCCGTCCAGCCATCGTAGAGCTTGAGGAAGAGGACGCCGTCGCGGGCCGGGATCTCATCGGCATCGTCGATGATGAAGACATCGTCCGGGCGCAGGTTGCGGAGGCGAGAGACGCCGTCCCGGGTGAGAAAGGTGCGCAGGTAATCGTCAGCGATCCAGCCGTCCTGGCGGCCGCCGGCGGGGAAGTGGTCCAGGAAGACGTAGAGCACCTTGTGGCGGATGTAGTCGTAGGAGCCGTTGAGGAGCATCTCGCGGAACTTGAGGGGCCGCGGCTCTCCGTAGGCCGTGAAGTTCGACTCGCACACCACGAAGACGTCCACCACGTCTCCCAGCTCGTGGAAGCGGACGTCCAGCAGGTCAAACTCATGGTTGATGTTGATGGCGTTGATGACCCGCCGGGGGGTCTCCCGCGGCACCAGGCGGTCCTTGGTGGGCAGGTTGGAGTACTGGACCACGGTGGGAACGCCGCAGCTGGGGCCGTGCCAGCCCGGCAAGCACATACACTCAACCCACTTGCGCCGCTTGGTCTGGGAGCTTAGCGGCTTGCGAGCAGGCCGCCCCGAGGCCGCGCCATCCGCTCGCTCCTCCGGCCGCCCTCCCGTGGGTGGCTTCTCCAACACCTTGGTGCCTGGTTTAAAGCAGACGCCGCCGGCTTTGGTGCGGACGAAATACTCCGTCGTGTCTTCCGGCAGCACAAAGTTGGCTTTGTGTAGCTCTTCGCTGGCTCTGCTGGGAGGCAGGGGCTGCAGCAAGGGCGAGTGGGAGTACAGGGGTGTGCGGAGCAGCTCTGCGCCCCCCGGCTCAGGGCTAACCTGCGGCGTGACGGGGGCATTGTTCCAGAAGAAGCTGGAGACAAGGTTGGGACTAAGTGAAGCCAGGTCCCGGGGGAAGGTGACATAGGAAAGGGCCTTCAGGAAGTGCAAGAAGGAGATGAGGCAGAGACCAGCCATGCAGAGAGTCAGAAAGAGCTTATGGCGTCTCATCTTCATCCTGTGGAAAAGCCACCAAAAGGAAAGTCATGGTCAGTAGTTACCCCGGTGCAAAAAGTTTATCGTTGGTAGGAAGACAGGTTGGGGATGCCAGAAAGTCCAAATTCAGCATGCATCTTTCAAGACTTGAATCCAAAACATCTCCCCCCACCCTCTGCCAACTTCAGCGGGCCTCTTGCCTTGGCTGGGTTATGCCAAGCCGAATCTCTTCTAGATCAGCTACAGTCTTATAATCTCATAAAGACAGGAAAGGTGCTGCTGGTGGGGTAGAGAGACAGGAAATCCAGAAAAACAAGACTTCACAATCTAGTGAACTCACCACACTTGGCTGATTTGTCCTCATCCATTGACAGAAACAAACACAGGCCTCCTCAGGCCTTGGATCACCAGGAGGTCAGGGGAAGATAAAGAGAGAGCAGAGAGCAGGGGGGATGAGAGGGAGTAGAGGGTAACGCAGTTGAAACTCAACCAGCGTAAGAGAGGCAGTCTTAAGGGACTAAGATCATTAGCCAGGCTGCCAAGATCAGGAAAACACCTACGCTCCCCAGATCTCTCCAATGTTTGCTCACAACACACACCCTAAAAAATCCTTGTTCCTAGGAAATGCTAGCTGAGTCCATATAGGGAACAGAGAGGGGAAGAAATAAAAGAAAAAAGATTATTGCTTTTACTCTCCTCCCCTCTTTCTCAAGTCCACTACGTCTCCAGATGTCTCCCTTTGCTTTTAATTTTCTTTGGACCAGATGGTGAGGTTTTCTGCATCTGGATCAAGGAGGCTATAAAAAAACACCTCGCTGTCTCTGCTGGTAATGCAGTGCCATGACTGATCCATGTCAAGCCAGCACGAAGCCAGTGGTGCTCAGCCCTTTGAACAACAAAAAAATACAACCTTCATCCTCTCCCTCTACCACCTCCCTTCCTCCAGCCCATGCCGGGAGCATGGAGCTGCTGTCAGGCAGAAAAATGACTGAATACCACAATCCAGAAAAATGACGAAAGAAAGAAAAAAAACACAACCTCAGTCAATACTTCACCACGGAGATCAAGGAAAGGCATTTGCATTCCGCTGTTTAGGGAAGGCTGGGACGAAGACAGGCAGGGGAACAAGGTGACCTAAATGCCCTACGTGAAGCAGAGGCTGCCTCTCCCCTCAAAAGCACGAAACTCCCCACGTGGAGGCAGGCAGAGCTCCCTCCACACCCAAGAAACCCACCAGTTCTTCCTCAACGTGACGTGCTCCTCTACAGCAGATCCCCACCACAGTCCTGTGCCCACACGTACGCCTCAGCACCTCCTTTCCCAGGCCAAAGGTCCGCACGCCACACTCCGTGCCGTCGCCTATAAACCCCACGTGGCACCCAGAGGCAGACCAAGCACCCGGCCCTAAGCCAGGGCGCTCCCCTTGTCCCCTCTGGGACTCCCCACAGCCCACGTGCGTCCTGGGTGGGAATGGCGGGGAGCAGTGCCTGGCCCGCTCCTGCTGCACACGAGGGGAGCGAGTGAAACACGGCAAGGCGCGTTTACTGATTAACCTGGGGAGAATTTAATGCTGAAGTGAAAAGCCATAAATTAGGCAGATGGCAACTGCCCAAAGGAAAAACTTATCTGGGCTCCCAACTGAGGGCTCCAACATGGACTTTGATAGAGTGGTTGTCCATATTGATGCCTTTCAGCTCAGCAGCAAGCATTTCTAGATACTTCACAGTTGCTTTTTTTCAGTGAGAAAAGGCCATTCACTGGTGCTGCTCCCCGTTCTTCGGCAGTGGCACGAGGACTCCCATGTTAACGGGGTTGTTTCAGCATGAAAAGGGGGACTGCAAGCCTGAAGCCAGCACAGAACTTACAGCTTCACTATTTCTTAATGTTCGTTATGGCTTCTGAGAGATTTCGACACAGCACAGGGTGGGTGAAGGGCAGGATCCTGGCTTGGTGCACCCCGGGAAGCCATCTTGTCAGGCCTGGGGCAGGAGGAGGAAATGGTGCCAAGAAGAAATGGTGCCTCTACTCACTGGGTCCCACCGAGCAAACCCCCACCACCTCCCGCACCCACCACAGCCCAGCTCCTGGGCGGCCACCTCTGTGGTGGCCCTGCCATGGAGGGCTTGGAAAGAAGCTGAAAAGACGAAGTGAGCAGAGGCTGCTAGGAGAAGACACCCCTTGCTGGTACACTAGTGCAGTTCTGTCTGATGGGGTGTCCTGCGCTTGCTCTGAGGCATTACCTCAAGACATCAGGTTGCTGAGGCTCAGGCAAGAAGAGCTGGCCTGCTCCCTTAAGGCAATCCCAATGGCTGCCAGCTAGTGCTGGCTTCATTCCAGCTCCTAAGGGACACACAAATGCACGGCAGCCAGCATCCTCTGGGCTGGACCAGCACAGAGGACGAGTGCTGAAGGAATCACACACGGCAGGGCTCCATCTTCTTCCCAGATGGCTGCGATGCTCCACATGCCACAGGAAATCCCAGACAGAGGTTCTAACTCCTGGCATTTAACAAACTGCTTTGCTTTCTGGGATCCCGTGTGCCATGTCAACATAGCCGGATGCACGTTTTTAGGAAGTAAAGCATGTTTTCCTCACTTGACATTTGCATACATCACTGTCAGGCTCAGCTCACGGCTCTGCAGCTCTTCACCCACGAGCAAAACTCAGCCCGTGCTCGGCTGCATTGCCTCCCTGCTACTGCAGCCTGCGTCTCGGAGAGCCGGGCTGGTGCGCACAGCCCTCCCCTGCAGCTCTGCCAAAGCAAGCTGGCCCTGCAGTACCCTCTGCTGTTTTGCTGCCGACATTTCCCAGGAGGCAATTTGCATAGCTCGGTTGCCTTTGTTAGGGAGCGGGAACATGAACCCGCTTCCTATCCCCCTCCTAAAAGGAGGGAAGCAAGGAAGCTGCGTCCTCTTCAAAACCCCTTCCCTAGGACCCACTCCATTCCTACATGCCAGGGATTCCTCTGACAGGGAGTGGAGAGAGAGCTCATCCACCCTTGGGTGGGCTGAGATGCTAAAAATCAGTCACGTATCCCTTCCCATGTCCTCTGATCAGCACTGCAGAGAAAGATGTGTCTTTGAGTGGTGGCTAATTGGAGACAAAGGCCAGCAGGGGAGGAAAATGTTATTACCCACCTTCCCCATCCAGAACATTTATATGTGGCTGAAATGAGAAAGGAGGTACCAGTCAGGGAGACATCTCAGCTTGTCATAAGAAACCCCAGCTGCTCTGTCACAAAGCAGCCATCAGTTACCAGGAACACAGAAAACAGCAAGAAGAGATTTCCCTTATGACAATTTTGAATGAGGAGAGAAAAAGAGTAAAGTTGATCTCAGGGAGAGAGATCAAGTTGCTGTCAGGTTTAAAGCTTTTTTTTTTTTTCTCCCCCCTGTTGGTTTTATGTTTAAGTAGAAGAAAAAGTCAGGAGGAGCATGGACAGTCAGCTCCTTTAAGACAAAGCTCTTTAGGGAACATACAATTATAAACAACTTCAGCAACGTTCAGCCTCAGCAAGAGAAGCCGAAAGCTTCTTTTTGTAAGGGACCACCCTTGATATTTCCTTGCTTGAAGAAGATATGTCTCTGCCATGCAGGGGAACGGCTTTCAAAGAAGATAGCTCAGAGTAGTGCACATGAGTTATTCCCAGGCACCTGTTACAGTTTTACTTTGCCATTATATCAAGTCACCTGTTAATTTATACCATCCTGAAGTCATATCCTGATTTCAAGGAGCAGGAGAGAAAGATATGCACAGCTAAGAGCTGGCAAGCCACCCATCTTAATGTTCTCTTCTGGAGGACACTGGCAAGAGGCCATGCAACAGGCCGCTGGATGCACAACACCCCAGCCTCTGGCATGCTAGGGCACAGGACTCAAGACTCTCTGGACCTCTCCTGTAGTGACAGGGGAAAAAGCTGCTTTGAGGACAAGCCACAACAGAAGCTTTTAGTTCCTGATCCCCAATACAGAAATGCCCATCTCCTCTGCCTGGAGTTATCCCTAAAGACCCACTCAGTGTCATATTTGCCCATCACTCAGACACTTCAACACAATGCAATGATTCAAATCGGAATCACTATCACACAGCAAAATAAAATCCAGCATGATCTCCATCCTCCACCTCACAGTGAGGGCCAAACTGTCTCTCTGCTCTAGCTACAGACAAACATGAACAGATCCTTCACTTTTTTTCCTTTTTAGTGACAGGTCTACCATCCATTCATGGGGCACAGGAGTCACATCATACATCAAGGTCACAGTATCTCAAAGCACACCAGAATCTCTAATTACTTTTGATCTGCAAACATCCACAAAAGTAAGAAAAATATTTAAACTACTATTTGTTTACAAATTAAATGTAATTAGCTCAAGGACAGCAGAACTTGACTGTGCTTAAGGATAAGAAGAGAAAGTTATCCTACAAAGCTGAACAGCAGGGAAAGTGGAGAGAAGCAGGATGTACCAGAACATTGGTAGTGCTCAGCATTTCTTTCACGTGAAGGATTTTCAGAGACTGCGAGCAATGAGGATGTTAGCAGGAAATTCTGGGAGGGTCACAGTACAAGGTGGTTAGAACACAGGCAGGTCCGCATCCACTTCCATCCAAATTTCAGCAAGGTTCAGGAAGGGAACGTATTATTTTTTCCACCACCTTCATTAAGAGTTACTGCCCGCAGCACCAATGCAAAACAGCAATACTTCATGCTATGCATTTCCTTTGCAGCTTTGAGGCAATCGACCACAAGGTGCCACTGACTCACTGCCAGCACAATCAGCTGGAGCAAGACATCCAGTACAATTACCCTTCAAGTAAGGTCAGGAAAAGGGAGAACCAGGCTCTGTCTTAAGCATCTTCTCTCCCTTTCAACAAGGAGGCAAGGGGAGACATAAGGTGACAGCTCTCAATCAGTTATGGTCATAGCATCTAGTTGGCTTCCAGAGACACCATCTGCTCACCAATGGGTGTCATCAAGCCAGGAAGAAAGCTGGATGAAGAAATAAACAACTAAAGGGTGAATC